GCGGTCCTGCCTGGGAAGGGGTGCCGGGCTCCCGGAGAGAATGTGCTAGAAACAAGCCCTGTCTCCTTGGCGTGGTTTATATATCCGGGACCTGGTGCAGGTCCTAGGGGGCTGAGAAACGCCTGTTGCACGGAGCCGGTGGGGGTGGGAGTTAAAACTGGTTTGTCCAGAGCACCTCCCGGAGGCTGGTCTGGGGGCCTGGGCAGGAAAGGTAGCCAGGCCCGCGGGGTGGGGGGCGGGGAGGGAGGTGTTGAAAAGTTTCTCTCCCAGTGCAGATTTTATATATTTTTTTCCTTCACCGTGTCCAGTGGAAACAAAAACAAATAAAATTTAAAAAAATATATATATATACCGGGGGCAAATGAGTACATTAACATGATTTCTGTTTGTGAAAGATGAAAACTTTTTAGTGACTTGCCTATCCGTTCTCAATAAATGACTAAGCAGCGTTGTTTCAGGGTGGGGGTGGGGAGCCCCTGCTGCCTTGTTTAGTCTCTCTTAAGATAATCTGTGTCTTTTTCATATTGTGATGTTTTAAGAGCCACTGTAGGCCTCTTCTTGCATGTCCCACAGCCATGTACTTGTGGTTTTTCCTTTTGAATGCTTGCTTTTAGAGGGGAAAGAACATGGTCCCACACCCCTTCCCCAACTCTCATTGGCGGCCGATTGAAAGGGAAGGGGGTGGGAAGACACACGAAAACATGAGTTTATTTTCTCTAAGCTCCATAGCAGGATTCCTGCCTGCCTGTCTCTCTCTCTGACGGTTCTTTCTCTTTCCTGTATATGCAATAACAAGGTTTAAAAAAATAATAAAGAAGAAGCGAGACTATTAGCAAAGTATTTATGTAATTATTTGATAACTCTTGTAAATAGATGGAATATGAATGCTCGGAAAATTAAACTTTAATTTATTGACATTGTACATAGCTCTGTAAATAGGATCCGCAGCTGTCCAGTTTTGTGTGGATTCCCTGCAGGCAGTTTTATTTCAAGGTCACAGGATCGCTTTTGAAACTAGGAAACACTTTCTGCACCAACACCAACCACTTTCAAAACGGTTGTCCGCAAAAAAAAAAAAAAAAAAAAAAAAAATTCTTAATGTCCAAGAGTGAGAGAAAGTGTTATTGCCTGTTTTACCCAGAATTGCGGAGGTGGTGGTGCCACTTCCCAGTTCCACCTTAAATTCCTTAAAATGTAACACCCCACCTTGTGGTTCTGAGGTTGCTTGGGGGGGAGGGGGGCCTCGGGGTGGGGGTTGCCGAGGCTGCGGCTTGACTTCCTAATTTTTCTCTTGTATTTGTATTTGCTAGTCTCTGATATCGTCCAAACGCAGTGGAATTGACTACTGTCTTCACTATTGTTTTGCATTGGTGCCTTTAGAGAGATCTATTCACAGTTCAAAAGTCAGGTGCTGAGATGGTTTAAAGACAAAAGCTCATGAAGGTATATTTTGTGTTATAATCGATGAGTTCTTTGGTTTTCTGTATCATCCCTCCCCCCTTGAAAACGTCATTGAAATTTCAATAAATTTTTATTGAAATGTCTTTGGGCCTTGTTCCTTATGTGCTTTCTTTAGGGAACTTGTGCATCTTTCTCCTGCCTCGTCTACCCTCTTCCCTTCGCCTTTAAGCAATTAAGACCGCCCCCACCGAACCCAAATGAGATGTCACTCAAGTTACAAAGCTAAAAACAAAAGTCCCTGACTCCGCCAGGGGAGCCGGCCGCTCCAATCTGAAACTACTTTTCCTTTAAATTAGGGAGCAGGACGAGAGACGGAAGGGGGCTGATTGGAACGGGATAGAATAGCAATTTCAGAT